AAATCCCCCGAAATTCGGCTAGACTCACTAAAAAGAGGCGGCTCTTTCGGCTCCCAACCGGCTTTTCAGGTTGTTTTGTTGCTTTAATTAATTAATTATTAACTATAATATGAAATTATGCACAAAAGGAGTTACTAATGTAAAAAAAAAAAGTGGTTTTATTTATATATGTTTATATATAAATATATGCGATGGCCTCTACAGACAAAGCACGTACGAACTCCAAAACACATTTCTAGCCTTAACTGAACTTCCAAAACAGAGCTACCATGATCACTTAAATGACACAATTGAAATCATATGTGTATTGTTTGTGTATTTATACACAAGAACTCATATATATTCAAATAATAAAAAAAGAAAATGTTCATTTACCTGTTACTACCACACACCAAATCCGGTTGTTGGTACTTCCTGGCTTTTGTAGCCACTAGGTAACAAAAGCTCAACACTGCGCCCTAGTAGTGATGTGCGATACCACTGATTTCCTTACCGATCCGATACCAAGTAATATCCAGGGTGGTATCGACGATACTGTTCCGATACCGATACTTTGTACAAAAACTTATTTTATTTATTGTATCTCAAATTATAGCGTCATAATGATTACAGGACATCAGATTACTTGTTCTTATCACTTAATAATGCAGGATTCATCATATAGAAATAAAAAAAAACTGAAGTTGTGCACTATCTGAACAGCTTGCCTGCCTGCATCACTAATGGACTCCGCGAGAGACGTCTGTCTCGCCCTAGCAGCACCTGTCCCTCTCCTCCTCTTCAGTTCGCCTGAACATACGCTCGTCATGTTCTGTGATGTGATTTACTCTGAGGTGTTTGACAAGGTTAGTGATGTTGCAACAACCATACATGCCAACCCTCCCGATTTTTCTGGGAGAATCCCGAATTTCAGTGCCCCTCCCAGAATTCTCCCGAATTTCTCCCAATTTTCCACCCGGACAACAAAATTGAAAAACCATATCGCAGAATTCATAGCGCGGCCAGCCAATTCCAGTTTCCAACAATGGCGGCAGCGTCTGTCAGTACTGAGTTTGTGCTGGAAAATGAATAGATATAAACTAGCAGCCAACAGGAAGCAGACAAATGACTTATTACAGATCTTCCTTATTGAAATTATGCATAAGCTTAATTTTCTATGTCATCAGAATGTATCTGTATTATAGTTTCAACTTTAATCTTTGTATTAAAAGTTGGATGTCTGCATAACTGAAGAGTATGTCTGGTCTGTATCTACCTGTATCTGTATACAGTGTTAGAGCAATTGCTGCAGCCTACAGCCTTTAAACTAGTGATTAAAATGCTGACAGTAAACTCGTCAGTCCAGATGTTACCACATTACTCTATGGTACTTAGAGTTAAAACAACTGAGACAGGCTGATTAAAATAACAGCTGTCAGTTCTCTCATTCCTTATATCAAGACTGGAGATCACACTACTGATTTCAGTTCATTTAATATGTGAGTGCACAGATTCATTCTCAACTGGACATAAACGATGATCAAAGGTTGTATATGTGATGAAGTCATCAAATCCCAGCCTCCAACACAGTGCGCTGAATCTTAGCTTTGAATGTCCAGTATATTCTAATCAGTGCAATGTAAGCATTCTCTGAACCTATAGTATCTACACCTGTGTGGCAAATGTGTGGTAAAGATACAGATAATGAAATTTAATTATTAATACAATGTACATCATGAGAAACGAAAGCTGAGATTGATTCAGTTTAGTACTTTTCTCTGTATGCTCTGTGATTATAAAGGCCTTAAATTCTGTGATATATACTGTAAATGATTTTCAGAGGTTTTAAAGTACTTAAATCACTGCTGATAGTCTGGTTGTTTATATTTTCACATGTTTTTGTGTCTATAGGGCTATTTGATGATGATTTGGACTCCTCTGGGAGATGAGTACACACCCACATCTGTGCCATACTGCAGCCAGTGATGGTGTTACAGCTCTGAGTCAGCTTTGGGCCATCAGATGCACACACTGGAAAACCAGCACCTGGACTTCATGCAGGAGAGATGGCCTCAGTGATGTAGGTTCATAAGCGAGTTCAAACATTTCTGGCCTCTTATCACTTAGATTTTGAATGCATTTAAAGCAGGAACTGCACACCTAGCTGTCAGAAGTTTGGCAGCATGAGTACTGTAAAGTTTTGTAGGGTCCTTGTTAAAAATTCCACAAGCACCACACCACATTTGTCATATATAGTTCCATTTTGTACAGTACATTTTTGAAAGATATATATATATATATATCCTAGTTATCCACTGTCAGTAATTTTTGAGTAAATGGATGTCACTGATAAATCAGTGGTGATTCACCTACAAATGTTTTTAACAAACTTTGTTTTTTGTAGAATTAATCAGCAGCTGTGGAGAGATGGTTTTGAATATCTTCTGGTTCCACTTTTTCTTACCTGGAAGCTGAGCATTGCTGATTTCTGACAAGGACACAAACCTCAGCGCTTATCATGGGTGTTACATCCTCCGTGCAGCAATTCCAGAGAAAACGAGAGAGCAACGACCGCTCATTAAGACCAGCCAGAAATCTGTCCCTTTCTGGCAGCTGTGGAAACTTCCAATAAGAAAGTTTGTATTCTTAGAACAATGCTGGTCATATGTGATGTGTCATATGAGGATATTACATTTTGCCTTAATTCTGCTCAATTAAGTGTTTTGATCGTTGATCAGTATGGCAGCTTTTTGTTGTGCTGCAAGTTAAAACCCATTGTCCTCATGAGCACAGCATCTAACAACTCTCCTTAAAAAAGTTGATTGACTTTAACTGGACACAATGGTTACCAGTGGGAGATACATTCATCACTCATCCGTGACACTGGAGAAGTCACCTGGATGAGTGATAAAACAATTTTCCATGGAAAATCCAGAGGAACTAAACTTTGTTGTTGTTTCTTTGGGCTCAATTTTGCCTGAGGCTGAAATTGATCTGATTTCTGACAAGGACACAAAATGTTTTCTTCTTTCAGAAGAAAACATTTTGCCAATAATCAGATAAAAAGATTGTTGAACCAGGTGGTATTCTCTGGAGTTTAAGACCAAAACTGAACTCAGTGAATTGACATCAGACTGGAATTCATAAGATAAATAGAAATACTGCTGAAGCTGAATAATATATATATGTGCGTGTGTGTGTGTGATCTTTGTTTTCTCCAATTCACCAGGTCTGTATAGTTCAGTATGACTGT